CTTTAGGATGGATGAAGCTACAATTGGTGTTGTGATACAAATGCACGAAGGAGATGGATATATATAGAGAGGGAGAGGGGGGAGAGAGGCAGGGTTGAAACATTCTTGATGATTTGGTAAGAGAGTTGAAAAGTATGCCTTTTTCTTATAATAATGCCTATAGACTGTGAGTGCTTCTTATCTTGTGCAGAGAAAGAGTCTACCAAGAGGAGCTTAATGTTTTGGTCAACGACGATTTCTTGTATGCCATTCAATTGACAGGGTTTTGATGATGCGTTCACGTTGTCGAACCATTCAATTGCCAGTATAGCCAATTAAACATGTGGGAAACCAGTGGGCATCTCATTCTGACTTCATCTAACATCAGATACTATAATGCAAGCCTTCTTTGTCACCTTCAAACATGACCACGGCAACACGTTGCGTGCATGACCGACATCAAATACTATGGTACAAGCGTTATATGTGAATGCAGTGACTATTCGCCACGAAATCGAAGAGAGCTGTAGCAATTCGGAGAGGGCAGACACTTATTGCTGAACTAGGATAGGAATCAGCTAAGTACGGCTATTTGACCTGCTAACTGTTGCATTTCTTGTTAGTCACAAGTGCTATACAACTCAATCATGTGAGTGATGATACATGTGATACGCTATGCAGTCTTTTGTATTTATTATTATTGGTATTTTTTGACTTTATGATTATGTGTTACGTATATTATAATATCCATGGATCTGTGTAATAAGAATCGGATTATAGTGAGATCGTGATAATAAGACTGATTCGCCTTTAATCATAAACCATAAATATTCTCAATCGTATATTATTCGAGAAGGATATCGACATAACCGAACAAACTAGTATATTGTATACTCATCCAATTGATGAAGGCGGTTAGTCTCAAAGCTACTCGTGTGGAGATACTAGGGATACAGTACAGATGCTAATTGGATAATTAGTTCATTAATTGATCCACTTATTGTTAGATAGTTGATGATATCTCATTATTAAACAATGATTTTGTAGTTCTAGTTGTGTATCTGGTCCTTAGACTTGAGACATCAAAGATATCATATATAAGTACTCTACTCTTTGATACCAAACTTATAGGTCTCGAAGTTCCAAATCTAGCATAACCAATCATCGAGAGTGGCAATCAATCTTATGAGGGTAATTGAGTATTGATAGAAGATCATTCACTCTCGGTATCATGAGATGAAAGTCTTATGTATTTTTGCTCAAGTAAATATCTAATCAAGGTCATTCAGATTGAGAGAGAAAGAGTTCTTCTAGAGATTCTAATTAGAGCAAGACTTGAGTAGATTTCGTATGAGCCTGACTGAATCATGCTTGGTACATGGTCTCTAGGATATTAAATGAATGAGTGATAAATATATGATAACTGAGGATAGACAGGTCTAATTGATTAAATTCCTCTGTATCGTATGGGGACTACGACATAGTGGCTTAGTACGTTTGTAGTCGATGAGTTAGTGAACTATTATGGAGATAATAATTCACTGAGTTAGAAGGAGTTTTCACATGTACGACTCACGATCAACTTGATATTGGGCCTAGACACACATATGATATGTATTGCGACGAGTATAGGTTTATATATAAGATATCCGCTGAAACCCCTATCTTACGACTTCATCTTGGTAATCTTTTCAATCTTCACCTTACATATTAACATTCCATAATGTTTAAATATATTTTGAATAACTTTAATCAAGTTTATAATGAGCTCAACAAAAATATAAATCCCAAGTATTTAGAGTCTGAATAATAAAATATGCTCTCAAAATAAAATGTATACTCCCAAAATAACTTAACTTGCAGCTAGACATCTTACAATTTGATTTGTAGATATCAGACTCACAAAGATGGCTGTTCTTCTGAAATATTTTACAAAGTTTGTAAATATTTTAAAAGGCTTAATTACAATAATTTGTTGTTCTTCATCTTTGCCTTGTGAAGATGCTATGTGTAGTTGAAGCATGCTTCCTATCAAAGGTCATACACTTCTTTTGAGACAAACACCCATCCTGCCGGAAGAGACGGCAATGAACTCTTCTTTGTGATATGCCAATTGGCTGTATTGTCATCTTTACGAAAAGATTCTTTTGCTCGAATGATGATAAGTGATTGCATGCATAAAGTTGACCAAAACCAGTATGATCCAAGTGAGATGTTGACCATTAAAAATTCATCAATGGATATATATATATATATATTCTTAGATTATGAGTCAAACTCATCATTCGATTCTCTCAATTTTTATGTCTAACTCTATTAGCAACGATTTAACTTTGGTTGCCAAGCTTATCTTGACTTTGAGATTTTTTTTTTTCATGAACATTGGCTTTGATAAACGATGAGTGTGAAGTGGACTCGTTAAAATTAACATATATAGAGTCAAATATCAATTTAATAAAACTCAAACTTTTAGATTATAAGTCAAACTCAATATATGTCACTTTTCAATTTTACTAAATGTATGGTTTTTCTTTTTATCATATTTTCAATCTCTTCTCATACATGAATATTTTTTAACACTAACAAATGCAAAGAAAAGTTCGATAATGCAAACCAGAGATTTGCTGCAATGTGGCTTCGCAATTAATAATGATCTCATCAGTGATCTCGCTCTCAATTGTTGACTCTTAACATCATATTTATTTTTAGTCGGAAAACATGAGGATTATTTCGATCACTACAGAGAAAACAAACAGTAATAACATGCAAACGCCTGACTTCGATCGATCGCCAAGTGTTTGCTTATTGGAATGTTAACATGGATGTGAAGAAGCCGCAGAGGTGGTGTTTCTTCAGTTGTTGTTGGCCATCTAGAACTTAGCCTGAAGCCAGTCGATGGTCTTCTTGTCCACCTGGAAAGCCTTGGCCAGCACATCGTCGGAGATGGGCGGATTCGACCCGAACACAGCGTTGGCGATGGTGATCGTGCCGGGGTTTTGGCTACTGAGGGCACCGATGGCGATAGTTTTGGTGTGCCCAGGGTTGAACTGGAAGTGGATGAGGCCTTGTGGGAACACAAACACATCACCCTTCTTCAGCATCTTGGTGAAGAGACGGTTGCCGTCGTCGGTGTTGGATGTGACGAAGCCGACCAAGAGCTGTCCTTCTATGACGGTGAGGATCTCGGTGGCACGAGGGTGAGTGTGGGGAGCGTTGAGGCCTCTGGGTGCGTAGTCGATGCGAACCATGGAGATGCCGAGGGTGTTGAGTCCGACGAGCTGGTTCACATTGACGGCGGTGACATTGGAGCCGACCTTGTTTACTGTGTCGCCAGCTTTGTCGAGTCCTCTGAAGAAGAAGTCTTCGGCTTTCACCACCTTGGGGTCCTTGCAGACGAACCCATTCACCAGCACTGCAACAGGAGGAAGCAAAATCGATCAGTAAATATGCATCGGGAGAGCAAACGCACCGAAGGAGATTAAACTGGATACTATGAAATACCTTTAGAGTCCTTATCTGCGACACAGAAGTCTTGAAGAGGACTAGGATCAGAAGCCATTGCAAGAGAGGAAGCCGTGGCAAGGAGCGCAAGGAGAAGCATTTTCGCTGCCATCTGTGTAATCTTTAGGATGGATGAAGCTGCAATTGGTGTTGTGATACCAATGGCTTGGAGGAGATGGGTATATATAGAGAAGCAGGCATTGACATATTCCTCATAATTAGGTGAGAGAGTTGAAAAGTATGACATGTTAGGTTGCCTTCTGCTTACAATAATGTTTGTAGACTTCCCCTTTTACGTAGTTGTTATCAAGATATTGACGCGGTTGAGAGAAAAGGTCTAAGAGAAGCTTATTCTTCACCGTCGGTTTCTTATACTTAGTAAATGCATACACGTTGTCGAACCATTCAATTGGCAGTATAGCCAATTGAACATGTGGGAAACCAGTGGATCGTCTCGATCTGACTTCATCAAACATCAGATGCTATAATGCAAGCCTTCTTTGTCACCTTCAAACATGACCACGGCAATACGTTGCATGTAGTGACCAACATCAAATACTATGGTGCAAGCGTTATATATGGTGCATGCTTGCACTAGTAGTGACAACTTCCCTCGTTATTGCAACGTCCCATATGACTTCATGCATATGAATTTGGAACCAACATTAGGAAAATTAAGAGAAGAGAATGGTGTTAACAGTGATGTGATACGCGATACATGTCAAGAGCATATTAGATGAGAAAGAAAAAACAAAAAGGAAAATAATCATCTTCGTTAAGGATTCAAAGAGTTGAACTATATATACTGGATTTGACCCACAATTTGATCAGATTACTTTTAGGTTAAATTAGTATTATAATCTCATTTGACTTAAAACTCATCATAAGCGAAAATAATAGTTCAAACCAAAGTCATGTAGGTTAACTCTGATTTCAACCCTTTTTATGAATATAAGTGTTTAATTTAGAATCATTTGGTTAAATAATCTAAACCAAACCCCAGCTTACAAAAAAAATATATAATAAATCGAATTTTAATAATAATTGAAACTCGAGCTAAGTCTCAAACCGAGTTTGAAGTCCCCATGAGATAAGTGAAGTCGAGTTGACTCGATCATAACCCTAGCAGGTAAAAAATTACTGTTAGAATAATAAAAAATAATAATTCTGAAACAAACAATAAATAAAAATTATGGCATTATCTCAAAATAATTTAACCCATACTGATCGAGAAAGAAAAATAAGTACAAAGAAATAGAGATACAAGCACAGATAAGAGGAGAACAGAAACAGAAGTTACTAACCTGACAAGAATGTCTAGTAGTCGACTTGGTATCAGAACTCCAGCAGTTCCTTCCCACCCCTTCAATTAATAGACTGCGGTTCAATCTTTTCTCAGGTGTAAAAGATGAAGCAACTAGTCTATCAACCATCTTAATATCGCTTGCCGAGAATGACACCAATGATCAAAGACATGATAGCTACTCCCATGATGATCTTGAAGGACATGGCTCTTGAAGGCCCTGTAACGACGTGTGACGTTTGAGTCAGTGAAGCTGTTCCTGGAGCTTGATGCAAGAAGTCTCTCCTTTTCGTGTTCTTTCTCCTTGACAGGGTTGAGGTGTCCAGTTCAGAATCTCTTGATTTCACCCCCATTTCATCCTTTGTTTCAGATTCTATGACTTCATCCGTAGCCTGAAGAAAAGAATCAGAATTGCCAACAATCAATAGAATTATTCGCCTTGAGATCCCATCATTGATTTTCATTGAACTTTGAGATTTTCATTAAACTTGCCTCTTCTCCACTTGTTGTATATGCCAACTTTAACTTGTTTTCAAGCTCTGAAATCTTCTTTTCCATTTCATCAGTTTGACTTAGTTTATGCCTCAATATGCTGATTTCTCCATTGAGTTCTACAATTTTTTTTTTTTCTTCTGTCGCCTGCAAGATCCAAACAATTCTGAATTTGACATGTTAAGCAAAAACGAATCATAAATAAAAAAGCATGAAATGGAAGACAACCGCAAAAAGGCTGATAAAAGCTTACTATTGTGATTATTGGTCTCATTAATTATACTTCAATAACATATCATAGAAGTTCAGAGACAAATAACAAATAACAAAAACATAATTCAACTTGTGGAATATGATCATTTAATGACCTAATCTTTAACCAAAGGATACAGTACCATAGGCTTTTGGCTTTATTCCTAGCAAATATTTTGAAGGTGTCCATGCTACTACAGACAAAAATTGCTGCATCATATATTGTTGTCAGAGCATTGACAGGGAGGTGAAGTGGCATTCATTAAATAAGCTCTGCATCTCTAAACAAAACCATGTTTAAGATGTAATATGAAGACTGTATCGACACCATAAGCTGACAATCATCACATCCAGAAGGTTAAGAAACGTGGTCTTTATACATGGATAAAAACCAATTACATAAGCTGTTCAATATTGTCAATAGGCAATTCGATTCCCCAATACATAATAGTAGTCAAAGCACGAGATTAATATGAGGGCAACTTGGTAGGAGCTAGAAATATTTATAACTCGGTGAGATTTATGAAACAAAAAGAACATGGAATTATGGTTTAGTATGGCAAATTTCTTATTTCATGTGATGAAGGTAGGGATGATAACTTCTTATATAAGGCCAATCTTTTTGGGCCACAAAAAATGACCAAGAAAAATCATTATGTTGGGTTTCAAATGGAGTCATTTTTCATTTCTACACTGGGCATTCAAATTTTTTAATTATATTCCCTAGGAATTACAAAGACATGATAAAGGACCTATTTCTCATGAGACTCAGAATAATGATGAGAACAGCAGATTTCCTGTCTCGAGCAACCACGACCAGACGTTCTGGAAGAGGTTCCAGATCACTCCTACACTTCACAATACAGTATGCACGAAAAGAAGGCCACGATATAATTGTAGGGGACATAAAGAAAAACATGTATAAATATAAATATAACTAACTTCATGAATCTATCTAAACTGTATTTTTCATGGATTAGATGGCAATTCAACTTCATTGAAAGGTATAAGACTAACCTTATTATGTTGGGTTTCAGCGTCTTCCAATTTCCTTTCAAGGTCTTCAATATGTTTTTCTAGAAGTGTAACATAGTGATGCTTATCCTCCAACTCAGTGAATGATTGCTTCATTGAAGCTTCCCTTTCCAGCTCTCTTCTGTGGTCCAATTCTCTCTGTTAAATTAACCGTCTAATTAATTGAAATGCTCGCTGACAACTATATGGAAATAAAGAAGATGGTAGACTCAGAAAAAAGACATTAATATCAAAACACAAACGGAAACGTGATGCGTAATGAAATCGAAACTAATGTTTTTGTCTCAGCATTAAATATTTGAAACCAGAAATTTTCATTTCCACCTTATGTCTTTACTATAGAAGTTCCTTCCCTATGCCCCTTCTTTAGAGATTTGCACAAATGATGTTGAAAGAAAACTATTTCCACCTAATCTCTAAATCTTTTGCCTTTTCAGAAAAAAATCAATCCACTTAAAGATCATGCTAGGGTCCTACCTCTACAGTTGGTTTCAAATATCACTGTAGGTTATTTAGGTCCGAGCTGAAGGTTGACTTTTTATGTACAAACAATAACAATACCATAAGCTAAGTGTTTGTGTGATTCAATTGAAATACGGATGATAAATTATCTAACATGCAACTTCACTAATACTGGCAAAGACTCATGACGTAAAATTGGGAAGTAACAAAGAGAGAGCGTACAATCTAAGCAGCAGTTACAAAAAGAAAAAGGCTTGTCCCTGACCTTGTAAAGGTTTGCAGACAGAGATCCATTTAAATTCTTAAAAATGTTTGTATAGGTACATCAACACTTGAACCATGAATATTGATAACCATATGTAATTGCTCATTTCTAAGGTTGTAGTGAGAGACTGAGAACGGTAAGAAAACTAGAAGAATTTGAAGAATAAGTCAAAAAACTAAGAGTACTGGTGTGAAAATTTTCATAATTTTAAAAGAACATGATATTGATTTGCTCTAGCTATCTTCTATCATCCATTCTCCTGGTCTTCTTCCTCCTCTGTTTTCTTTTTATTAATTCTATCCCCTATTAAATGCTATTGTAAATATGATGATTGTTTTTACAATTATTTGATGCCGTCCTCCTGCTTGCAAGCTGAAACATGAAATTATAGTTTATAATTTCTTTCCACCAACTATGTGACCCTAATCAGCATCATTTAAAAATGCCTTCATACTTCAAGTTAAATACTTGTCAGATACAAATGCATAATTAGGATTTTCTTCCAAATAAGTTCCAACAAACAATGCACTTATCAACATCATCTAGTTTACATATTTAAGTACATAATATTGCAAAGCGTTAATAACTCATAAAGATGGCTTCTTATCTAATATGCATTGTAATGATAGTAGAGTAACAGATTTTACCTGCTCTATTATGGCTTCATGTGCTAGAACAAGTTCACTTTGAATTTGCTTCAGTTGTCCATCCAAGTCTTCCCTTTCTTCGAGTATATTTAAGTGCTCCTTCAATTTAGCAGTTATGGCTGCTTCCCTCAATGCACATGCTGATCTCATGTTTTTAATCTGTAAATGGCAATTCCAATCACTATAACATGTAAACCTTTCACAACTAGTGATATATGGTTATTTAAATCAGCATCACTTTTGGAAAGAAATTGCATACTTAATCAGTATAGGTTTCCTCAGCTAATTACTGCTTTTATTCAAGTTCCAAATCCGTGATTGCATCAGAGGCTTATCAGCTAACTTTGCTTTAAGACTTTCACATCAAAATTTAAAGAGACTTCCTCTGCTTTTTGTTTACTCCATTGTTCTTCCCGTTGGACTATTATCGATTCAAGTTCTTTTTTTATCTTTTGGTACACTTCCTTGAGCATAGTCTTTTCCTTCCTCAAAAAGGTTATCTAAGATAGAAACTTATCTTTTAGATAACAACTAAAATTATTTAATTTTATATCTAATTATAAAAATATAAATATAGAATATATTCTTTTTTAGGATGTATTCAATGCACGAGGCTCCCGCTAATACAGGATATGAGGAAGGTCAATGTGTGTGGCCTTACTTTTAAATATTAAAAAAGAATATTTTTGTGATTCAAATCCTAATCTCTTAGGTCGCAAAGGAGCACGAGACTCCTTTTATCTTTTAATATATTTAAATCACAGTGCTTGGTCTATCAATTGAAGAAATGCATAAATTTTGCACACTAACCTGAGATTGGAGACTTTCTCTGTCAGTGTTAACTTGTCGCATAAGATTTTCCATTTCTTCCCTAGAGGAATGAAGCTGCATGGATGTTTCATCTCTCTCTGCAGTTGCTGCATTCAATGCTATTTGCATCTCGCTAATTTTTGTCACATGGGTTGACAAATCACTAGCCAAACTCAAGTTTCTTCTATCTAAATCTTCATTCTCTGTCTTTAACTGCTCAGATTCGCCTCGCAATTGATCAACAAGCCTTCCCAAATTCTGTAATTTGAGGAGAGCTTCTTCAAGCTTACCCTTCTGACTTGCTGCAACTACAGCCGATTCACTAGCCTGCTCTTCATAAGCTCTTAGTTGAGATTCAACTGCAAGCAGTTTCTTTTTCAAGTCTGTAGTCTCAGAGTCTCTTTCTTTGAGTTTCTCAATCACTACAAGCAATTGGAGTTCAGTTTCTTTAAGATGGGATTCAGTGGTCGAGTGGAGTTCCAACATTCTGGAATGTTCACCAGTTAATTTTTTGATCGTTTCTACAAGAGAAGCCAGCTGCTCAGAAGTTCCTGCCTTCTCTGCTTGGATAGAACTCAAAAGTGCATTAAGCTCATTTACTTTGAGCCGGGGAGTTTCCAAATCCTCCTTAAGCTTTGAGGTGGTCTCGGGCAACATGTCTTTCTCCAAAAATGTCTGTTCAGACTTCAAATATGCATCTGGGGCCTTCTGCTCAGGTTCCTCAACATTGTTTTCAAGAGTGACCAACTTCACGGCATTTCTTTCCATTTCTGCCTTCAGCGAGGCGAGTTTTTCAGTAGCTTCAACAGCTAGAGCTTTAAAACGTGCTGAATGCTCTTCGACAGACTTCGATTTTCCTCGCAGTTCCTCAACTTCATATAGCTTCTGCTTAAAGTTCTCTTCTGTTTCTTGGAGTTCCAGCTCCGACTCCTTGACTGAAGACTCGTGTAACACTTTCAAATCCGGAATTCTTGCATTGACTTCCTCAACTCCCTTCACGTGCTGCTTCCACTGCTCTCCAGCATTTTGAAGCTTCTCATGTAGCCCTTTCTCTTGAACACTTGAAGTCTCCAGGTTATCCTCAACATGTTCCACTCTGACCTTCGATGATTTAACCTCACTTTGCAAAGACTGAACCATATTTTTGGATTCTAAAAGATCCTTTTCCTGAATAACAGATAAGTCTTCAAGTTTTCCTTTTTCTTTATCATCTACATTTATAATTTCCGTCAACTCCTCCTCTTTTGAAGCCTGCAGCAAAACATCATGGCTTGCAACTTTTGTCTGACATGCTTCGAGTTCCACTGTAAGTTCAGAGATCTTGCCGTTGCTTTGCGTCGATTCAGCTTCAGCATCTCTATGTTTTACCTCTGCATAACTCAGTAATTGTTCCAAGTGCTCCGTTTGCACATTCGCAGCTTCCAACAACTGCTCCAATTCACCCACTCTTTTTACAGCACGCGCCTCAGCTTCGGAATGTGATGCATGAATCAGGTCTTCCAGCTCAAGACTCCGTTGATGTGTTGCATTAGCCCGTTCCTCATGTTCGCAACACTTTGAAACAAGGTCGTTTAACTGTTTTTCAAGCTCTGAGTTCCTTGAGAAGGATTTGCTCAAAGAAGATTCCAGTTGACCAACCCTATTTTCATAACCTTGAAACCGGCATTTCAGTAGTGAACTTTCATTGTCCACATCTCTTAATGAATCACTAATCTCCGCAACTTTATCTTTCAATTCTTTTTTTTTCCTTTCTGCATCAAGGCGTTCTACATTTGCAAGCTTTAGTTCTTCTTCTAGCTCCATGTTCCTCGTCCCTGTTGACGCCAGTCTCATCTCACTCTCCTTGAGCTGTGCTCTTATGCTCTCTTCGCCTAGATTTAGTGCCTCAACTGAACTTTCAAGCTCAAGGTTTCTATTGGTAGCGGATTCCAAGGCTATTCTTGATTCATGATGGAGCTGTTCAATTGATTTCAACTTTTGTTCAAGCTCCTCTTTATATGATAATGCTTCTGAGAGAAGTGACTCTGTCTTGCTGAAGTTCTGGTCAGCCAACTGTAACTTTGCCTCCAATTGAATGCATGATTTCTCATTCATCGACAATTTTGTGTTAAGGTCTGATACAGTACTTCGAAGAGTTTCCTTCTCTTTGATCGAATTAGACAAGTTATTTTCCAGATCTGTAGTCTGGATTGCTTGGTTTCTTAAACTAGCTTCAATTATATCCCTTTCGTTGATCTGCTCTTGAAGCTTCCGTTGAACTTCCTCCAAGCATAGAAGCTTTGCTTTGAGATCTTCTTTAGAGGCAGAAAGCAGATTTTCCAATGCATAAACCTCGGTTTTGATCTTTTCTTCAGAAGCCTTATGGTGGTTTAATTCTTCAGTCAGTTTAATGATGACAGAATCCATGGAGACAACCGTATGCTCCAATTCTGCCACCTGTGATTTTGAAATCTTTAGCTTTTCTTGGGACCCTGAAAGCTCCAATGATGCAGTCTCTAGTGCTGCTTCAATTTTTGTGTTGTCTGCAATCTTAATATAGACTCCATTTAGCTCATTTTGTAACTTACGCAACTGATCTTCCATCTCATTTGCTTTCATTTGTGCTAGTTCCAACATGTTCTCAAACTGTAAAGCTCTTTTTGTCTGCAACTCAGCCTGCGAACTACTACTTTTATTGAGATCTTCAAGTGAATGCACTTTGCCAGCTGATGACACCAACTCTGCTTCAAGCTCTTTTATCTTTTCCTTTGACATCTTCAACTCGGCAGACAAGCTAGTGAATGCTTCCTTCATATCAAGAAGCCCCTTATGTTTCATGTCCTTATCTGTCGATGCTTCTTGGAGTGTCTCAAGATGCAAACTATGCTTTTGTAGAATTTCTAAAATATGATCTTTCACTATTTTCTGTTCAAGTTTGAGTTCTTCACAATGTCTGCTCATTTTCTCTAACTCTTCATTTGCTCTATCGACCTCAAACTTCATCGATGCCTTTTCAGATTCTGAAAGTTTCAGCTTCCCATTGACAGCTTCAAATTGGAGCTCAAGTTCTTTGATCTTCGCTTCCATTAGCAAATTGATATTTGGCACTGAATTTGCTGTTCCAAGATAACTAGAACCTGAGTTTTCTGTCAATTCAACTACTGGTTTGAGCATGCGTGAGCTTTCTTTAACATCTATCAATTCCTTCTCTGTAATGAATTCCTCATCAAATGCAGCTTCGTCATCTTCATTGCATCCTTCTTTTTTGACCAGCTCTAGATCAGCATCAATCAGATATTCTTTTTCACCACCATATACCTGTGAATTAAACATTTTTGGAAGTAATAAACAAAGTTAACATGATTAATTGAGCAATGGTCAAGTTCAGGTTTGCTGTCTATGGCGACATGTGTTTATGCTGCTTAACAAGAATATAAATTGCTAAATTGAAACATTAAGATTTTGGACACTGAATAGTTAGACTGACCATGTCTTAAAAAGCATAAAATCAACTGCAACAAAATGGGCTTCAAAATTATATTTAAAATGATTTCTCAAACTCTTCGAATCAGTGCCTTTTAGATTCAAAGATTTTTTTATAAAATAGCTGTTAGGCGAGTGATGGTTTATGGAGAAAAAAAATCATATACTCAAATGAGAATATTGAGGTTCAAAAATATTTTCATTCATAAGTAATTAGATGTAGTCTCAACAAAAAATAAAATGATGATGAAAGGTGTGTTGATATTGTAGTGATAAGAGGTGAGACAGCTAGTACTAATGATATGAGTAGAATTAGAGAGAGATTTAATGAAATCTTGTCAGATATTATAGATAAAAAATTAAATATTCTTAATTTAACTAAGGCTCAATGACAGTAAAAGATATATGCAGCTAGTGCCAAATAATTGAGACATTATAACTTGTTTATGCTAAATCAAATCCTTGGAACCAGAAATCATCCATATAACATGCAAATGTTATATTTCGTTCAATAAAATTCATGATTTTTCTCATAGTTTTCAGAGTTCCGAGTCATACATTATAAAAACTTGGTCGATTCTTAAAGTATCACATTTGATTGATGAATCGCCTTTTAAATTACTTCAAACATGTTCCAAAGGCTTAGGAGAACCTTAATTAAAACTTGAATTTGATTAAAATCAAGCGAGCTAAATGATTACAATTTGACGTGCAATTATTTAATAAAGCAAGCTAAACGATGAAAATTTCTATCGATCATCACACATGATCATCTAATAACATATATAGCTCATCTATAATGGTTATTGAAATAGTTAATGCCAATTGAATACGTATTGTTGTAGACACATAAAAACTTTTGCGTTTCCCTATAATGACTATCAAAGAAAAATAAAGCAAGGAAATGATTAGGATGAACCTTTTCAGACTGGTCCACTTTAACATCAGTGGAACTTGCTTCTGAGCCTTCTGCCATTATGATTCCAGACGCTGGACTCTTCCTGCACCTGCTATTGCACAAAAGAATTACTCATTAATTCTCTTTGACTACACAGTATCATATGCAAAAGCGGTAAGCGCATTGAAAATTTTTGGCTACACTATATTACGTTTGCAATTGAACTCGTCCTAAAAGAGAAAAAGCTGTAACACTGAACATGAGAAAACGTTCTGTCATGCCTTTCCTGGTTTTTTCCATTGCCATCTTTTTTTTGTGTGTAAACACCCTATCTATTGGATGTGATTAAATTGTAACATCTAATGGTGTCCGTGTATATTGAGAAACGCGCACCATTTAGAATAATTAGGACCAACGGATTGCAGACATCACCACAGCTTCCTGCACAGCAAAATTAAAGACTAACGAGCGACAAGGCGACGAAGCAAGTACTTCCTATCAAACAGATAATTGAACATTTCGAAAAAAAAAAAGATTACAAAAGCGGCAAAGAAATCACAAAGGAATTACACGATCGTTCAAGGAATCTTCACATCAACTTACTTCGTTTCGTTCTCCTCAAACTGTACCGATTTGATACTTTTGATAACTGAACTCCTCAAATCACTCCAAATATCGAGCTGATTAAAGGTATCTGAAGAACATTTCCGTCAAAGATAGCTTTGAGAGACGAAGAACCAAACAGACCCGACATTCAATCCACGATGGAACGAAATACGAGGTGCAAATGCAAACGAGAAAAAACCCCCGATCAATCGAAAGATTAATACACGAATTGTGAAACATAAATCCGACTTAAATGGGCATCAAAAGCAACAAAAAGAAGAACCGAAGAAACGGATCAAAGTATATAGAGAAGTTTCTTATTGCTTGCCTTGAGATCGAATGATCGAAATCCGATCGCCCTTCGCAACGATCTATCGGTAACTTCGATCGGCTCGTCTCTCCTTAATTCGCCGTTTAGGCTGAAAAGTAGAGACGGGAAGGAGAAAGGGAGGCAAAGCGAGGGAATCGTTTCACGTACGAAAATAGAAGCTGCGAGATGGACCCAACGGGCCCCGCGCTCGTTAGTTTCGACACCCTCGTCCCACCACCGGTATGGTTATCTCCACCAAGTGTAATTAATTACTAACATGCCATCGCGAGAGGGTGGGCGATTCGGGAGGGGTCGATCGAGAGGTTGGGATCCTCTGCGGCCATCATGTCTCCGATCTGAACCGTCCAATTCGCAACGTATTCGGATTCTTTCGTTCTTATTCTGTTTTATTCCTTTTAAGAGAAAATATTTATATTGCTTAAATAAAAAAAATTCGAATATATTGTTTATCGTTTTTAATTGAATCTCTCTCTCTTGCATCAATAATCACATCGTCTAATTATTGTTTATGTTCATTTTCTGCTTACTCTATCCTCTGTGGAGGTCATATACAACATGTCTCATTCACGTTGCCGAGGAGTGGCGCACTTGACGATATACTGACGGTGTTCGACGAAATGCCCCTGAAACCAAGGCATCCTGACGTGCATACACCGAGATCAATGTCTCATACACGTCGCCCAGGAGGGGTGCGCTTGACGATGAACTGACATGACCCGAAGGGCACCTGCACTGCACTGACGGTGTTCGACGAAATGCCCCTGAAACCAAGGCGTCGTTACGTGCATAAACTGAGATCAACATTGACTCCACTGTCACAAGGCATCAGCTTTCCAGCTGTAATGTGAGTTCCCCAAATGAAAGAATACATACTTATAATGCAACTCTGCACATAATCTTCTGGGAAGTCATGGGGGCCATATGAATCAAGCTCACTTCTGATGTTTTGTCGGGTTATATGTTCTTCCGCCCTAATCACTCTCGGTATATTGTTGCTGTAAATTATTTTCCAACACCACTATAAAAAAGATGCATGACATGATGGCCCGGTCCAATCTCGATCTCTTAATTGACAAAATGAATCAGTGTTTCATGAGCCGGACCGGTCGAACGCGTCAAAATCGACCAAGACACCAGATAGGGTCTCAATCAACGGATGAACACACATCGGACAACGACTCGTCACCTTGTGCAGTTCAGGTGCGGGCACCACCACACACCCACCTGGGAGTTGGTGAGATTGCTGGACCAATCAAAACCCCGTCATCATGGCCAAATCACCTGTTTCTGAAGCATGAGCGGGTTCGGTTAGATCAAAATCAACCAAACTCAAAGTAGGTGGGAAATGCGATCTATCTTATGTATATACACATTATTAACTACAGTTAATTCTGATTTGGTCCATGAGGTGAAGGACCGGAACGCCGGTTCGATGTTACTATATGAGCCCACGAAGTGCACAGGGCGAGGACGAGAGACGGAGAGAGAAAGAGAGGTGTGGTAGATTTTGGTCATGGCATCCAGGTTGTTGTGGGCTTCGAGAGCGGCCTCCTACCTGAGGATCTCTGCCTTTCACAGAGGCTTCTCGACAGGTGAATCTCTGATCTACGGAGACGATTCGATCTCTTCGCTAATGTTTTCTTGGTTCATTTGTGCGGAGATTTATCTGTGCATGGTGAGTGTGGGAGATCTTTGTTTTCCTGGTGTTTTGGTAGGCAGATCCGCTTTGATGGATGGTGAATATGGGAGGTTTTGAGATCTGTCGTCTCCAAGCCGAAGATCGGGGTATTATTGATGGGTTGGGTTTTGTGTTCTGTTTGATATTGTCGATGGTTGGATCAGCTAATATATGTGAAAGATTTGAAATCTTTTGGTGATATTAGGGTTTTGGTAATAGCAATGATATGAGTCTTTAGATCGGTTTTTGTTATTTTCTGATTTTTTTTTTCGTGGATTGAAGGTGATGGTTGATATATGAAGTATGGCAGTTGGTCTATTGTGAGATCGGAGTTGCTACTCCTGAATAATAGTTGGAATGTTCTTCATCAGATGCTTTAGCCTGGTGGACTAATGCAGAGATCAGTAGATCGCTTACTTGGAAACACATTTCTTCATTTTCTTCTACCACAAAATATAAATTAACATGCATTTGTTGTAAATACCGGAGAGATCCATGTAGCATAACTTCATTAGTTCAGGAGCTTGGAAACTAGATTTTACTCGGATAATATCAGATCTTTTATGCGAAGGTGTTGTGGACTTCCAGTTGTATCAGCAAGTAGTGACAAATCTCATGAATACCTCCTTCGGGGTGTAGAAAACTGATTATAAATTTAATCATTTTTCATTACAGTTATTAAGGATCTGAAATATGCTGACACACATGAGTGGGTTAAAGTTGATGGCTCTTCTGCAACGATAGGAATAACTGACCATGCTCAGGTAATTTATTTATTTTCCTTTTCTGGATTAGTTCCACCGGCACCATCTGATTATTAATTATCGCAACAATGTGGCAGCTTGTGTCTAAGATATTAATACCTAATTATCTAGATTGTGATTTCAATTAGGAGTACAACAAGCTAACAATCTCTTGTTCATCTCATCAGATAATTTTTCTACCTTCTGTAGAGCTTGTTAGTTTGCATTCATCTCATATTTGTATAGGATTTTTAATGATTATTCTTTCTACAAGTTCTATTTGTTATTTATTTCCAGGATCACCTAGGTGATGTTGTGTATGTCGAGTTGCCAGAAGTTGGTGCGACTGTGGCACAGGGAAAGAACTTTGGTGCAGTTGAGAGTGTTAAGGCAACAAGTGATGTCAATTCTCCTGTATCTGGAGAAGTGGTTGAAGTCAACAGGGAGTTAGTTGGTTCTCCTGGATTGGTGAGTTTTGGACAACTCGTTCTTTTGCCAGTCACTTACTTTGCCAAAAGAACGTTTTCTCCTAATTTCCACATTATTTTCATTATTTCTCTAAATTATGTACATAAGCTTTAGTTGAGCTTTTAATTTTTTTTTTTCAAGGCTGTTTTCTTTTGTTTTAGCTTACTTATTAGTATGATTGGAGGATATGCATCCAAAGAATCACCACTATTCAACTAGTGAACATTTAGGATTATGTGAAAGCCTGAAAATGCCAAGGGTGCAGATGTCTAGTTGAAAGTCATTCAATGCTGTCTTTTATAAAAGAGCTTAGGTTCGTCAGATATCTATGTTGACTTGCATTAAATTACCGGGTCATTGTCTATTGTGGAAGCAATTGGTCAACATAGGTTTTGGAAACAAACAAAGCAGATGACTTATGATCCTACAATCTATACAAGTTTTCATGAAGGTGGTGCTGAGATCTGCTGCAAAAGAGAATAAAATGGCATAATTTCATGATGAAAATTGTCTGAGAAATGTGTAGGTGAAAAAAATACCAGATGGTGCCTTCCCCTTTTCCGTAATATCAGGTAACCAACTCACCAAACTCTTTGACCTTTTGGATTATAGACTTTCCATTTGGATTAGGCCAAATTTAGATTGCATTCACCATTTTGAACAAATAATTTCCTGTTTAATATATGTGGTAGGTCCAAATGGAGTCTCAGTCCCTTCCCCATCATCATAACCCCCTTCTTCTTCCCCCTCTCTGTCTTTCAAAATTGTGTCTAGGTAATTTTATGCAAGTAAAGATATATTTCACAGAGATTTGAATCAGTTGATGAGAGTAGCGTAGGTTGGTCTTGTTAAGTAAATGGACTGAACAAAAGGACCTCGTATATTGTTGATCAAGCTATGCAGGATGCTTGCAGAAGTTCCCATCTTATGGTGTGCTTCATCGAATTGATATGAGAGTCATACAGAAAAAAATAGAATACTGGGCGATCTAAGCTGGAAATCCGGATGATGTATTGGTTTGTTTGTTGCAGCACTGTGACAAAATTCTTAGACCAACTTTTCATAATGGTATGTATTACAAGGTATAAGGGGTGCACAAATAAATGTAGTCATTAAACCAAAAGGCAAAAGGATGTTAAGGGGAAGTTAGAAGCAGTTCTTGTGATACTAAAACAAAAGCCTAAGGCTTTTCTGAAGCTTGTAAATGCAGGATTGTACCCAACTGGGGAGACAAGATGACTGACTTCTATGATGGAGATACTGCAAAATGGATTGAAAAGTTTGGAAGCATCTTAGGTGCTAGCTCTCTGAAATTTCAGCATAAGATGTGAGACCTCGAAGAAACGTTCATCTTGATGAATAACTAATTCAGATGCGATGGTAATCATTAAAATTTAAAACCTACTAAAATGTAGGGAACAATTTTTATAGTAGGTTCATTTTTATGTGTAAAAAAATGAAGATAATTATATTTGTTGGTTTTCAATGAAACTGAGATATCTACTTATTTGGAACCAAACATGGGTGTCATGCGACCGGTCGCTTCCATAGCAGTCTTTAGTTTCTCTGTATGCCTACTGCTTTGTCAGGGGTCTGTAGCCACCATGTTCACCTTGATAACTGCTACTAGAGCAATTTTTTGTCACACTCTCTGTAGTCCCCACTAGTTTATTTTGCATGTCAATTCAGTTTCTATGCCCAGATAACTCACTGGGACTAGACCAAATGATTTCCTACCATCTGTCTTGATGCTATACTATTACCAATACGAGCATCAGCTACAATGCCAGCTTGTGATAGCTGGTCAAAGCTATTTTTGAGATCTCTTATGTCCAAAGGTTGGTTTGGATCCACAAAACATTTTCTCCAAAATGAAGTAGAGAGAATTTCATAATCTTATTGAAAGTTGGACATGCTCACCGACTATGTGGGTCATATCTCTGTTAGCTAAAAGGTCTGCAAGCAGCCAGAGAGACGATAAGTTCTATTAGGTATACATTTGTCAATACTACAGATTGTTTACTGATGATGGATCTGTTACCTATAGAAACCAAAGAGCATGTGACCTTTCTATATGCAGGTCTCGTGCTTACTTTAGTGGATTCTGTTGATGTGGCTATACTGGATCCAAGGTAGCAGGTAGTTTTGCCGGTAGGACTCTTATAGTTAGACTAACAATATGACACTTATTTAGAAAAACCTTGCCTGAAGTAAAATTTGAGTGGCCGAAGAAGATGTAGTTTTTCATAGTACTTGTTCTTTGTTAATATGCATCCTAATTAATTGATGGCATGTACTTCACTAGACTAAGATTTTTCTTTTCTAAAGGGTTTTTGACGGAAATGTTGAGATGTAACACTATTTGTCTGTTTAACTTAAGGTTAATGGGAGTCCATATGAGAACGGCTGGATTATAAAGGTTAAAATGAGTGACACAGGCGAGTTGAACTCATTGATGGATTCTAATCGATACTCCAAGTTCTGTGAGGAAGAAGATGCCAAGCATTGAAGAAAACCTAGGCTTTCGGTTACTTCACCCATCCATCCATCAGCAGCATTTGTTTCTTGAATAATCGCTCATCAACTCTTCTATCATTTTGCCTTTGAGCTTTGTAAAACACCTTTTTTTTTTTGGTTAATGATTGCGTTCACTTTTTGGTTCAGCTTCCAAGAGAATCACCATCTCAAGTGGATTTCTTGTGTAGTGTTTGTTTAAACTCATTAAGAAGATCTTATTCGTGCTATGAATGGTCAAATCTTCCTCTTCTGTAGATTCTTAAATGTCCTAATAGATACACCATTGATAGAAGAATTAGAGTTGATATCCGTGATCTTGACGTCAAACATATATTGAGTTTATTCATATCAACAGATCTAATGTTGCTCTATATGGATGTTAATCTTTTACGAGATCATTACTACAATATGAAGGCGTGCATCAATTCTTGTTATTTTATGTACAAGAAAACCACCAAATTATTAGGTATTAAACGCTAGCAACGAAAGAAAACCACCAAATTAATCGAACAAAAAAAACCACAAGCAACTTAAAATCATCTTCTTCCAGCACTAAATTCCCCAAAATGCAAAAAAAGATCCTATAGTCAGGTAGGGCAGAAATCCATTTCCCCGTTAACAATCACATTTAGCAGCTGAAAACAAATAGGAAGTTCCCAAAGCTCTGCCCTGCTATCCACCACCGCAGTACCTGACTTACTCTTTGAGTTCCCAGAGATCTCAGAACATACATTAACTTACTCACCATCTGGCACCTGCTCGTGTTGCTGTGCATGAGGTGGCTGCCACAAGTAAGCCACCGAATGAGGCTGCTCGACAGCATACACAGTCCCCGCAGCAGCTTGATCTCCTGGCTTTCCCATCACCATTCCAGGGCCTGGCACTTGCGCCGCTGGCACATAGTAATACGGAATCGCGTCACCACCGGGAGCACCCACAGCAGCTCTTGTAATCCCCAGGCCCTCATCCTTCAACTCATCCCTGGGAACTATATCCACCAAGAAGTCAAATATGTCGGTTCTGGTTATAGCGCCACCTATGTCATTCTTCTGCAGAGTTCTCCTCTTATTCTCTTCAGTATGGATCCACGATCTGAGTGTCAGTTCCAGTATAAACAGTTCGCACGCCTTGGCAAAGACCACAGGGGCCTCGGCTGAGATCATACGGACATCCTCATCAGCCTTCATGATCTTTTTTATCCGGGCGAGCGGTAGGCTGTGATTCTTGAAGTCTGTGATTTGTTCTATCTCCAGCATCTGGTTGGCCCAGAAGGCTTGGAGTTGTTGCAGTTGCTGGTGGTGCAGCTGTTGGACCTGCTGGTAAGCAAGCTGATGCTGGCTGACAATGCTGGCTGGGTTAATAGAATATGCTGAGGTCAGTTGCATTGGGGAAGGTATGACTCCTGCCACTGCTGGAGCTCCGCTAATTACCGCGGTTGGCTGGTAGGTAGGAGCAGCATATGCTATTTGGGCAGCACCAGAAACAACTCCAATCTCAGGCTGTGTCGACTGTTCCATGACCAGTGTGCTTTTCACAGTTGTGATTACTTCAGTATTGAGCTGAACATAACTGCAGGATACGCAGATAGATATTATTTAGGGAACAAAGGGCTTTTGATCAACTTGTTTACTATGTGATGATTCCCAGCGACAACAACAAGTTCTATCATAGAGATAGTACTTATCGAATTAATTATGTTATTTTCCTACCAATGTATGATGCTGCACAAGTCAGATAAAAATAAAGCTCTAATGCTCTTTATGCAAATTTTAGTGATACGAGCAGCCTATAGATCCTTACCCTCCATTGAATCCTAAATCGACCTTTCTTATTATCCTCCACATCTATGTTGTACAGACAAAACCACACCGGTAAAGGACACCTGAATATGCATTATTTCATGCATGTTCTATTAAAAGTTTCATGCTGGCTTTGCTGCCAAATGCAACTTGCTTTTCCAGAGATTACCCCCCAACCCCCCAAAAAAAAAGTTCCATTAGTTATAGCAACCATAAGTAGCCAATAAAAGACAGATCTGATAGTATTATCATGTTCGACATAACTTTAGTCACATCCATGAAGAACTAAATTCCAGCCATTCCACAGAAATATAACTTCATGGTGATCAATAACGAAAAAAATCTAGGTCAATCACATTGATCCTCGAAAGCACAGATACCGGCAAATGTAACAGACCAAATATCCAAAAAGGAATAAGAAATAGCATGCAACTACCGCCAAAACTAGACCTCATCTTACAAGATCGCAAGATATCTATCTCAAGAGGACTGTCCAGCAACAGCTTGAATAATGTGAACAAACAAGAAGACCCAAATTGTCTTTGATTAATCATAAGGAACGACTACATCCATTTGCGCCATGCAACAACCACCAAATATTGCATTTCAATCTTCCATTCTTTCTAACTTTTACCTTTTATATAACGTTCGAGTGTCATTATTTATCGAAACACCTACTCGGTGCATATAAGCAGTCGCTTAAGAAAAAGTCATGCACTTGTCGAACAAAGGATGAGAATTCCTACTATCCTTGTATGCATTTCTGCTCATTCAGTAAATCCAATCCAAAAACAAATCGAAGTCCATGCATTAACCATTCTTGACAAAATAACAAAGGCAGTAAAAACTAGTATAATTTAGAGACTCCACTCAATTCATAAGTTTGCTACACCAAATCTTGGATGTTGTAGTTGCTTTACAGCATACCTCCATCAACTTCATCTAACTCCAAGCCAATTCCCTAGATTAGGTATCTGAATACATCTTCAATGGAAGAACACAAGGCAAGTTCAGAGCCATATCAATCAAGCCGAGCAGATACTACATCCAAAAGGAACATTCCCTAGCAAAACATTCCATCAAAAGCCCAACCCTATCCAATAATCCAACAAATTCTCTCAACAAGTACTAGAAATAACTGAAGACCTTCTGAAATTAAGAAAAGGCCATTCATCGCTTAGGAGATAACTCACATCAATTTCTAGGAAATTAGAAAATACTGCATAGTCATGAATCTTCCCTCTAATATCGCTAGATGTGCATATCAACTTTGTCAATCATGATGTTGAAACCGAGGCTCCAAAAAGTGGATCACCAACTGATCACAAAGTCAAGCAAATCAGTGTTTAGAAGTCTAGTCTTTCATTCAAAAAGAAAAAGAAAAGAAGGGGGGAAAATAATCAGTAACTGAGTAGGCATACAAAAGGAAGCAATCGACTTTGAACGAACCAAAGATGAAACGAACTCGAAGACCGACGAAGTTACTGAGTCGCACCTTATCGAGGCTCGAACGATCCCCCCCACACCTACGATTACAAAGCCACCAAATGAACCCGGATTCCCTGTCTTAGAACCATTTGATCTTGTTCAAAGAATGCCAAGAAAAGCCGAGACACGGAGATCGAACGAAGAGAGGCAGAACGGAGGACGAAGATTGAACAAAGATCATCAAGTTGCCTCCTTTTAATTTACCTGGACGAAGGCGAAGCACAGCTCGGACTGACCCCTTCCGAAACCCTAGAGAGAGAGCGACCGGCGAAAAGAATGAGAGAGGGACGGTCTGGAATGGGGTGCGCAGCCCACGTGTCGACACAGATGATGGCAATCCCGTTAAATAGAAGGACGGTCAGGGGTGGGTCGGTACTCTTATGACGACTTGGTCGTCAACGGCTAGCGACACACGACATTTCAAAATTCAAACAACAAATGCACAATTTATAACGAGACCCCTAAAAAATAATTAATAAGTAATAAATAAAATAAATAGGTAATTTATCTAAAAAATTATGGACTTTTTTTTTTCCTGAGAATCTTTCATTTTTATGAAGAAGTTTGCTATTGACAACCCTGATAAAAAATAATAAAAATATTATTTATTATTTATGATATCTTAATTATAAATCATATCATCATTTTCATTTATGGGAAGTCGATCCTCCCGAGGATGAAGAAAAAAAGGAAGAGGGTACTTATGTTCATTCGACACGATCGACATCACTTGTCACTTGTAATTAGGATAAAAATTAAAAAAATTATAAATTATAAAAAAATATTCTTCATAAATTAATATGATATGATAAATGACCAATTATGTCCTTCTCAATTCGGATTTATTTTTATAAATTTTAATAATTTATTTGTGAAAAATATTAAACTTGTTCGGAACAAATCGACTCCACTAATGACCTCTTATCTATTTCCTTTTGTTATGTTCGTCTCTCTCTTTTCCATGCTCATCACACTTCTCACTTTCTGTCGTGCTTCTTCCACTGATGCTATCTCTTCCTCTCCTATAATATTATCACCCTCTTCACCTTTACCTTATCAATCCAACTTCCAGCTTTGTTTGTTTATCTTTCTATGTTGTCTCTCGTTAAACTCGACTCTCTTTTAAAGATTCCAGTGGTTAGTATCATATAATCCAACTATGAAAAAGCAAAGGAAAGAAAACGTTGTTGTTCACCCAAAGGAGGGAAAACAATACATACGTACATAAATAAATAAATATATGAGAGTAATTTTTATTAAATAATATTTTTAATTTAAAAATATCAAAATTACTCCCTAAAATTTTTTTGTTTATTATAGTGTTACAGTGTTTTTGGCCTATTATAGATAAAAACCCTTCTTGTTAAATATTATTTCAAAAGAGCTATTGATATTATTTAAGGGTTGTAGTATTACCTTAGGAGGTACACTCACTCGTTTATTATATATGTCCAACGGGAGTCGATTGCATGTCATTATCAAGGTTGACCTTAAAAAGGTCAACTTTCGCCTCTCATGGACTGCTATTACCTCTGCTCTTCAGAAATTTAATTTTCTTGATCATTTCATTAATTTGGTGTCTACAGATTGATCAATGGTGAGCTCTCTGTCTTTTTTTAAGAGGCAATAGGGGTATCCAACAGGGGAACCTCTTTTTTGAGTGCTGATATGTCAAGCACTCTCTGTGTCAAGACTTCTTTCTTAATATCATTTCTGAGTCCTCCTTTGGAAAAAAAAAAAACAAACAAACAATGCATCACCAAACCTCAGCTGCAAATTTCGCTTGATCCAAATAAAATTTATCTCCTGAAATTAAGTCTAGATATGATGAATCTAAATGTATTTACACCTGTGTGCAATCGGTCTGTTTTCTTCAATGTTAATTTGCCATGGTATGCGAACAATAGCTTATACAAACATTGCTTACATTTTCAAAATCATACAGCACCACAAATGGAGCTGCGGTGATTGAAAAACAACTTAAAAATACATTTTCTTCTTGTGATAAAGCACATAATGGAAACTCACATACTCATTATTCTACAGTTATTTGCAATATGGTGGTAAGCCTAGGTTTTCTGTACCTTCGGAGAAGCAAAGAAGAGCAAACGACGCTGACAGATGAGAAGGCCATGCAAGCGCCGGCCAACCATGGTGGCATCCTTAGACCTGCGAGGGGAAAGAGGACACCAGCTGCGACAGGTATTGCCACGATGTTGTATGCCATTGCGAAGAAGTAGTTCCAACGTATCCGGGCAAAGGTCTTCCTCGAGAGATCGATAGCCGTAATCACATCCTCAAGGCTGTTTCTCACCAAGACGTAGTCTGCAGCTTCGATAGCGATATCTGTTCCAGCACCAATTGCCATCCCAACATCAGCAGCTGCCAGAGCAGGCGAATCGTTGATGCCATCACCAACCATCGCAACTATGCTTCCATCCTTTTGAAGCGAGCGAATGACGTCTGCTTTTCCTGCCGGCATCACTTCAGCTCTCACATCTTCAATTCCAACCTGCACCGAAGGAAAATATTATGTGTTTGGTTAGCTTTGTCTGCTCTAAGTTGTTTTAACTTTATATAAGCTGGCAAACCCAATTCCAATAATAAAACAGCAAAGACACAATTCAACAAGAGAAGGGAAAAATCTACATTAAGTTGAGAAAGAAAGAAAATAGATAATATAATATCAATGAGATAAAACACTTGGATGTCAAATGAAACTAAAGGCTCAAATTAGAGTGGCTTATCCATAAATGATGAAATTTCAAGCAAAAAGTATCAAGTAATGTTAAAAAATATATATATCTATAAAATTTTGTATCATAATCTTTCCAGCAAAAGAAAGCAGATATGATTCCCATAAATTCCACCAACTGGAAGTTTACCCGGGATTAGCCAATTTAACTGAGATGGCCACGGCATGGTGGTGGCAGAAAACATGAGTTAACTCTTCTTTTAAACTTGGTCTGTTATAAAAATTGAAGGTGAATACTTAAAGATATATTTTTAAAGTGTACTCTGGGTTCATAAATAGTGGTATGGGATGGACTGTTCATGGCAGTCACAGTAATGCAATGGTTATATGCAGGAAATTTCTACTCGATTAGATAAAAGCACTAAAAAACCAACCTCTTTTGCAACTGCTTGGGCAGTCCTCCAATTATCTCCAGTTACCATGACCGGATGGACACCCATTTTTTTTATGCCTTCTACGACAACTGCTGCTTCTCTTTTCAGGGGATCAGCAATCCCCAGGAGTCCAATGAAGCTACCATCATAAGCCACAAGTATACCTGTTTTAGCATTTACTTCCAAGTCTATCAAGAAATTTTCAGCTTCCATAGGAACAGTAACCCCATTTTCAGCTAATAGAGCCCGATTGCCAACCTATAAATAATATGTTAGCCATCAAAAAACTTCACAGGGAGAGAGAGAGAGAGAGAGAGAGAGCAATAACCTATTGACAAACTCACCAGAACTTTCTTCTCATCGATCAAGCACTGCACACCTCTCCCAGGCAAAGCAGAAAACTCAATAGCTTCCAGAAGCCACTCAGACAAGATTTCCTCTCTGCTCTGCTTGGTAGCACCTTCAACTGTAGGAAGCTTATCAAAGAAATTATAATGGTATGCATAATCTAGGATTGCCCTAGCAAGAGGGTGCTCACTGCTAGCCTGAAGTACATCAAAAGAAAGAAAAGTTATAGTTGCTGTGCTGACAAAATGAAATATGCTAACTGCTATGATAAACACAAGTTCTTCAACTCACCTCTGCAGATGCGACTAAAGTAAGAAAATCTGCTAGTTCCATTTCTGTAAAAACTTTTGCTGTTGTAACAGCTGCTTTGCCTTGAGTAAGGGTGCCCGTTTTATCGAAGATCACATAGTGCACATTCTGTGCTCTCTCCAAAGCATCTCCTCCTTTAATTAAGACACCATGAGAAGCACCAACACCAGTAGCTACCATGACAGCTGTTGGAGTTGCCAGACCAAGGGCACAGGGGCAGGCAATCACCACCACTGATATTGAGAACATGAGTGAAAAAACAAAGCAATTGCTACTTTCCTCAACCCATGAATCAGGATATGCTCCTAGCAATCCACAGAGAAACCTATATAGAATAAATAGAATATTGACCACCAAATTCAGATGTATATAAAGCATACATCGGGCTTGAGTGTGAACTTACCATCCCAAGAACGTTAACAAGGATATGGTGATAACAATGGGAACAAATATACTGGCAACCTGCAATTTGTATAAATAGCTTGTAAGGAAACAAAATATTTGGTGTCTGTCCATCAGAGGTCAAGATAATTCCATTTAGAAGAAAGAATACAATACAGGAACTTGACAGCATACAAAACAGAATCCTCGTTAAATCACATAAAGAAGGGAAGATTGCTTGAAAAATATATCTATTGCACACAATACTTGTGGACATTCAAAAAAGTGTAACATAAAGTCTATATCCATCAGAGCTCCATGCTTATTCACTAAGCTGTTTACAGAGAGGACAATGACAATGCATTCATAATACTCTGAAATACCTATAAATGTCTGTGTAACCAGTTTATTTGATTGATGTTTTATGTTAACATGTAACAGAACATGATATTCATCTACTTTATAAAACTTAACCAAAGTAACTCTGACAAACCAATTTAGTCTTATTTGTTCTTTAAGAAAATCTTCACTTCAACAGAAAAAAAAAAACTAGCAAAACAATTTTCAGATGCAAGCCTCTATGGGTCATCAGTACCTTTGGTCATAAAATTCTTAGTTGTTTTGAAGGATTCAGTAAAAGTGACATCAGTTTGTTTTAGTAATATACATCAATCCTGCTGATCCCATTCTCTTCATTGAGATGGATGGTTTTCACCAACTCTTGTGCAAAGAACTTCCTCCAAGAAAAAGTATCCTGTACAAGCTTCCATATATGATTTACTAAACCAATTTAAAGGTAGTCACAACCCATATTCTAGCTTCTTCATAACATTAATCATATTAAACCAACCCTAACATAAAATGATTTTGCCTCAGGTATGGTGGTTGTACTGTTGTTACACATACAATAACAGAACCAAGTCTATAAGCATAGTTATTTTTTCTTGGTTCTTTCCCCCTGACGTAAAATTGTTATTCTTATAAGTGTGATGCTAAAAACAGAACTGTATGTAGGACAACAATCAACTTTCCCAAGAAGAACAAACAGTTCATCTATATTCTAACATCAGTATGACATAAAATCTGTTGACTTACTTCAAGGATGAACTTGCCGTACATGAACTAGCATATATATGTTAGGAATGTGCCCCTTTTTATATTTTTCATTTGATAATTATTCATACAACAGAATGAAGAAATAAATAGTTGTTAATTGCCAGCATGTGCTCCAGAAAAGTTCACCCTACAAATAATAATTACTCTTTGAAACCACAAAATGAAAGCCATGGAAACTGAAAATTACATATTTGGTGTCAGGCATCCATCAAACTCATCATCATAGAAGATCAGTAAGCTGCTTAAAAGTGAAGTTGAGCCTTAGACATAATCTGCAGTTACTGACATAATCTTAATAAACCAAGAAAAAAGGATTACTAGAGTTACTGACATAATCTGCAAATTTCTGAATTGGAGCCTTAGACATCTGGGCAGTCTCCACCAGAGATATGATTTGACTCAGGACTGTATTAGATCCCACTCTTGTGGCTTGAATATGAAGTGCGCCATTTAAGTTCATTGTACCTCCAACAACTGCAGAAGACACTTCCTTCGGGATCGGTTCCGATTCACCAGTCACCATACTTTCATCAACATGGCTTGCGCCCCAAGTTACAATGCCATCAGACGGAATCTTTGAACCAGGAAGAACTTTCAAGATATCACCAGGTTGAATTAACAGTGCATCTATCTCTCTCTCCCCCATGTATCTTCCTTCTGCAATGCAAAAATGTAGACAGGTATTCAGTTATTTAAAAGAAAAGGATTATGTCAAAGGCAAGCACATTGAAACATGGACATCAAAGTATGTCATTGCAAAAATTTAATAGATAGGCAAGAAAGTGCACATTAGACAGAAATAAATGCAGATAAAGGACATGACTGAATCACTCCTTGAATATGATACTTCTACATATGTCTAAGATACCCTGAGATAGTATACCTTCATCTTTGACCAGTAACAGAGCCGTTGCAGGAGCAAGTTCTACCAGCTTCTTGATAGCATCTGATGTTTTACCCTTCGCAACCACTTCCAAGTACTTCCCAAGTAAGACAAATGTTATAATCATAGCACTTGTCTCAAAATATATTGGAGGCCGAAATCCAGTAAATGCACCATAAAACAGTGCACCGACTGAATAGAAATAAGAAGCAGAAGTCCCAAGTACAACCAGAACGTCCATGTTTGTAGACCAATGCCTCAGTGCTTTATAAGCTGCTACATAGAATCTTTTACCAATAACAAACTGAACAATGCTCACTAGTATCCACTTCAGTAAATCCCGCAACAAAAAGGGTCCACAGTGTATCAGCAAGAAAGAATTGAGAAAGCCTATACGAGGACAAACCATCCGTATGAAGAAGACAGGAATCTGTAGTGTAAATCAACATGAAAAATTAGTAACTTAGTATAAAATATTGCACCATGAATTTGTTGAAGAATTGGCGTGGAGAAAAGAAACATGTATGAAAGCCTCACATAAGAGCAACATAGTGAAACTACTTTGACAGCATTAATGATTGAACTCACGCTGAGTATGAGACTGGAGAGGAAAAGCCGGAGCATCTTTGATGCTTCTTCTACATGATTGGAAGTGACTAGTGTATAAGGGCTCTGGACAGATGCCTTTAACTTACCATTACTTCCTTTCTCGATTGCATCAACTATAGATCTCAAACCAATAGCTTCTGGATCAAAGATGACTTCCACTTCTGAAAGACTAATATTTGCCTCAAACTGCTTCACCCCTTTCAGGTTCCTCAATATTCCTTGTATAACATGTACATCTGATATACTCGAGAATCCAGCTACAGTCAACAAAACTTTATCTTGTTCATTGCTTTGCAAAAAGGCTGCATCAAAGCCTGCATCCTCAATTGCATGAACAATTTCATCTTTTGTAATTACTGATGGATCATATTCAACTTCCCCTAATGAGGTTGCCAAAGCAACAACCGCCCTTTTCACACCAGGGAGTTTACTCAAGATGCCTTCAATAGAGTTTACACAGGCCGAACAAGTCATGCCTCCTATCGTAAACTGCCCAGACAAGGTCTTCTGAGACCTCATCTGACTATTGCTAGAGTCTGGCAGGACCTCTGCCTCGAATCCTGCATCTTCAATAGCATCTCTTATGTCTACATCCTACACAGGGAATAACAACCTCAAGTAAGTGATGGTGTGAGCCAAAAACAGTTGCATCAGATAGCTATAATTGTAGTAACAACTTGGGTTTAATAACTCTAGACAAGACAATACATATTGAATGGAGGATGCATGATAATTTCCAAAGAGAAAATATAATGCACTCTTTCATAAGAGAAACACGCAAATAAACTATCTACAAATAAATTGACCCCCTTTTTTATAAAAACAGTAAATTTACAAGATACCACTCAAGTAGTTAACCTAAAAAAGAATTAAAAGATAAATAAAGCATGACACTGGTTATGCAAATCTGGAATTAAGTTACTTTTGAGTTTTGAGGACAAGATGTAAATTAGACAATAAAATTACATAGGTTAATTATTTTTACCAATTGAAAAAAGACTAGTTAGGTGGCTCACTGATATTTGAAAATAGAATATCTAATTAATTTTCTTGGAAGCCAAAATTCTCGTAGACAAAAAAAGATATGCTAATTTCACATAAGCTTTCTGATAAATTAGGTTGGTGGTGATCTCACTAATATTTCATTCAAGTCCAACATCAATCTGCAAGGAGAAATGCCACTATCAAACGATAGTGGCTGTTGATGAGAATATTCAGTAACTTAACTCTAATAATGAGAATATTATTCCTTCTGATTGTTGCTAGTGCACTCAAGTTACATGTATGCACTATTGTTAAGGATTTCAAATATCAACATGCACAAATGTCAAGTATCAAGGAAACTAATATGCAAACTTCACAGATATGTGGGACAGATACAGAAAAGTCCTCCTTGGAAAGGATAAATGACGCACCAAAGAGTACAGGAAGAGATGGAATATGTCAATATGAAAATTTCTTGGATGGACTCGGCCCATATCACCAGCCATGATTCAGTATAATGAAATCGATCAACATTATCAGACATTAATGTATAGTAAAACAAAAACAAGCTTTCCCCCATAAACCATCTTAATAGGATGTCCTAGACTGGCCCATGGCTAATGTGGTGGAGCAAGTCCAACCAACATTCAAAAACTTCTGCAGGATACCTAAGCCATGGGAAAATGACTAAAAGAAATAAAGCCAGCATCCATATGGTATCGGACACCAGAAAAATAATGATCATGAAACTTCAAGGTTCTGGCTTGTTGTACAAACATTCAAAAAATCACCCTTAGACACTGCCAGTAATTCACGGGAAAGGAAAGAATTCCCATAAATATCATTATAATCATAATTCCAACTCAGCAAATTTCGATTTACCACGGTTTTCGTTTTAGAACCTATGCGTGCAGTAAATATAACACTAATATGTAGAACAATCCGCATGATTTAAGTCGGCAACTACAATCACACTTCTGAATCCAGAGAAACCCTGATAGTACAAGGAAAAAAGGAAAAACATCCAAAGCCCACAGGAAGAAAACAAAAAACAAAATTTTGGTTTGAGGGAAAAGCAAAACAGAAAGTGCTACGAAAGAGAACAAGACTGGAAATACCTGAGTATGATTTAAGAAGGAACCCAAGTCATACATGTTATCAGAAAAGATTCAAAGCAAGACAATTTAATTGCAAGTCAATGAAGTTTTTTTTCTTTTAATTTGAAGTTAGAACCATAACCAAACAAATTAAATGGAACTTTGGCACAGAATAAATTGCCCATGTACACGATTCCAATGATCACCATAGTTGGCGACATCAATTCAAGTTTCAACAAAACGCAAGCAATCATGTTTCTGAAGAGCCCAAAAATCCAAGGACGGATAGGTAAACTTCCAGGTATCCTAACATAAACCAGAGTAAGCCCCATAGCTAAAATTGTAATACGACGCATCTGCAATCGAAACTGATCAACCACCACTTCGTCGTTTATGATACGATAAGATTCAAGGAAGAACAAATCCAACGACTAAAGCAAAAAAAATCCACGAATCAAAGCTCGAGAAGAAAAAGGGAGGAAAAGATCGGACCTCGACGAGATTGGGATCGAAGACGACGTGGGCCTTGTTCTGCAGAAGAGAGACGGAGGCCCGGGCGACGCCGGGAAGTGCGGAGATCGCGCCCTCCACGGCCCCGGTGCAAGCCGAGCAAGTCATCCCGGTGACCCTGACTTGGATTCGCCTCACCCCCTTGTCCGCCTCCTCCCTCCCGGTCCACTCCGGCAGCGCCGCCGCCTCCTCCTCGTCGTAGGAGTCGAGCAGCCGGACGTCCTCGAGGTCGCCGTCATCCCCCCTAGCCGAGATCCCCCGTCGGCCGGCGGCCGAGCTCAATTGGATGTCTCTCAGGTTCGGAGCCATCCAACAACTCGGACTGTCTGTGAGGGAACGAAAGAGCGGAGAAGAACGGATTAAAAAGAGGGAGAAAAAAAAAAAAAAAGACATTAAATCCCATTAAAATTAAGAAACAAAACGGGACGGAATTGCAACAACCAAAGTTGTTGCCGCGCACGTAAAATGTCCCTTTTGCCCCTCTGTGCCCCCATTCAAAGACCACGTCATTTTTCTCTTCTTTTTTTTCTTATTATCATTTATAATATAATTACCACAATTTTTCTTTTAATTGATGGGTTCGGTGACCCCTTCCCAAATTTTATTTCCTTGAAATTGTCCAAAAAATAATTACAATTTATTAACACTCGAAATCGATTTTGCTCGTACATTTTTCTCTATTTTTGACGTGTATTTATTTTTTATTAATCGTTATAAAAAAAAGGTACGTCGTTGGGTCGTACACCGAATTAATTAAGAGAAATATTCTTTTATTTTCTGGAGCATACTTTTCATGCGGTCGGAGGAAACCGCGCACGCCACGGCATAAGTCACGACAGTGGATCCAATTTTGACCCGTCGCCGTCTCCGACGCCGGCTTCGTCTATACAATCCCCAGTCAGACGCAAATGAGTCGCCCATCTCTTCTTTATTTCCCATTTTTATTTTTACTAATCGAATTAATAATCCATGTTTTTCTGTACAATAAAATGTAAAAAAGAGAAATGCTCTGTTCTTCCTTGTTTGACTTCAATCAGGAACTAAAAGCTTCCTCGGGGAGAGAAATGTAAGAAAAGTTTGACCATAAAGTTGACTTTTTGCGGGCAATTTCTCAGGTGGCTGAAGCGCCAAGCTTTACCGAGCACAAGACTTTGGAACGCTGTTTCAGATTAGCTAATCGATGACTCCTTTTCCACCACCGCCTGACCGATCCATTCGGGTTATCATCTTTGTCAGTTCATTACATCGATCTGAATCCGTGCTTTGCTTTCTGATAGTGAACTCCTCCTTGGATTAGGTGAGCGATCTCCACTTCGCTTACCTACCTACTACTCCCGCAGCCTTCAGGAGAACTCGACAGGCTCGCCCAACCTGCTACTTCTTGTTCTTCTTGCTTGGTTCCAACGCCTCCAACCAAATCACGAGTTAAGGATCAGCAGAACTGCGAGGTCAAAAGAGTCTAAGAAATTGAGGATTAGTTTTCTTTTTAGAGTTCTTGAGACTTGGTTGCAGTCCTGATTGCCAGAACAGAGGCATTTGAAAATGGGGAGAGAGAGAGAGAGATGAACATAATCCATGTTAATTCCTTGGTTAGATCTGGCTGTCATCCTTGCTCAAAACCACCAAGGGAAAAGCTCAATCCAGTGGGTGGCTCAGAGTGGACGAGGTGTAGGATTCTGTGCTTTTGTCATAGATTATATATTTCTCTCACTTCCTCTTCCATCCGACAAGAAGATGGCTAATCCTACTATACGAAGCAACCATAGAATATAGTGATCAGCTGTTTGACTGCACAGAGAGGGGTTGAAAAGACTTCTTTGTCAGGTAAAAGAGAAGTGTTTTCTTTACAGACAGTTCCTTTTATGTTCATGTGCTGTGATCAAAAACAAAATTGCCTTAAAATGTTTTATACAGATAGGATTTATACTCTTCCTCACCATAAAAGAAAAAAGTTTGGAGAGAAAAATGTTACAAGCAAAAGTATATGTTCCCTAAGAAATCATAGCAAGCAACTTTGTTGGGTGGGTTGAGGGCAAGATGGGAACAAAGAGACAAGCCCATGAAGTCTTCTTTCCAGACCTTTGAACAGTAGCAGCAGTACAAGTCTGTACTAACTGCAAGCTCTGCTATGTACTGCAAGTGAACTCATACTACTCCATTGAGCCACATAAATGGGGGAAGATGCTGAGCTCTGGATATGGAAACAACAGATGGCAGAGGAAGATGAAGCAGTGGTAGGGGCCCCAAGGAAGCTTCCCCATTGGTCTGTTTGGTTTGTCTTAGGACTCTTAATTGTTGTTGAGGAAGTCATTAGTTGTTTGATTAATGATATATGGTTTTGTTTCTTGTATTTATTGCTGAGTGCAGTCATCATGCAAGATTTAGTCAACTTGATCTGGTCACCAAAATAGATCTGCTTCTAAAATAAGATGCTCTTCCCAGTCACCTCACCTTGTTCATCTCCAGTGTTGAAGGCCAGTTAAAATATTCTTGGGCCACTAAATATCTACAGTATTTTTTTTTTTTCTCCTCACACATATGTTTACATAAAATGCAAATACATCTTTGTAATTTTTTAATATGCAAATATATTCATCAAAACACCATTCTGCTGCAGTGGATCTCTTTGATTGAGAAAACAACTTTTTGGAGAACAAATATGTTGTTTATGTTTCCTACATATATGCCCACTCAAGTATGACTATCTATCAGAAGGTAATGACAAGGGTCTATCCACCATAAACTATAGCCATGAAGAATAAAAAGGATATGAAGGGTATATTTATAAAATTATATTTTCATAGTAATATATGATGTCTTCTAATGGACAAAAGAATAATTGAATGGGTAGACTGGGGAATAAGGTTGTTCAGTAACATATATATTTCTCTTTGATTACTCTTGTTAGGGTATCCAGAGGATGTTTTATATTAAGCATAAAGAATAATTTGTATTTGATGCTTAAGTCAATTTAACAGTAAATTTATTTATTAAAAATAATAATTTTGAAGAACATAAGATCTCATACGTCAACGCAAAATATTTTTTCATATTGTCTTACGTTACCGTCATATAAGAATCTTATGGATGATATTTTAAATTAAGTATACAAATATTTTTTTATCTCGGATGGCGTATAGTCAATTTAATAATAATTTCAACTTAGATTATAAAAAATATATATATCAAAGTACAGACAGTCTAAACTGATGATAAAAGAAAAGAACGGAAGAGTCATAAGTTAATGCCTATGATCTATTTAAAATAAACTAATACGAGGAAGGACTAAAGAAATGATTAAGACCACATGTTTCTACCAATAATATGAAGGGTATATTGGTAATATTAATATTTTAATTAAAAAAAATATTTTTAGGATATATAGGTAGAAACCTAAATTAAAAAGAAAAATTATCTATTTCATTAAGTATCCCAAATTGTTTTCCTTCCACTATCTCTTAAGCTTAGATCATCAAAATAAAAGTAAAAGGTCTTTAATACAAGTAATCAAATGTGTTAATCTGATTGGGACTATGTGACCATCAAAAGAAAAAAAGAAAAAGCTGTTTTATCCATTTCAACAAACAAATGTATGATTCTAAGCTCAGCAAATATGTTGAGGACAAAAGTAATAAGAACTTAGAGCTGATATGACATCCCATGAGGAACATCACACACTGCCAAAAAGATGCCAGATATATATATATATATATATATATATATATATATATATATATATAT